TTGTCTATCTATCTATCTATCTATCTATCTAACTCTATTTTTCCCTATGCCTCTCATTCTCTCTCTACCTCTCTCTCTCTCTCTCTCTCTCTCTCTCTCTCTCTCGTTTCCACTGGTCTGTTGTTCTTTGCTTAATTGTCCAGTTGTGACAGATGTGGCTGTGCTCCTCCATCACCATCAGCCCGAGAGAGAGAGAGAAAGTGGGAGAGAAACAGAGAGAGAGAGAGAGAGAGAGAGAGAGAGAGATGAGATCCAGCACATTTAGGACATCTACTTGTCTCTGCTGTCTGTCACTGTGCTGCCATGGCGATGAAGGTGACACTGATCGATGCAGGCGGTCCGCAGGTGGCAGGTTTACACCAGTTTAAGGTTTAAAACATTTACACCACTCTGCTGCCCTTTAACTCCATCTCTCTCTCCCCACTCTCTTTCTCTTTCTTTTCCATCCAGCTTTCTTTATCTCTCTCTTTTGTTATGCTATTCTATCTCTTTCTTTGTTTTACATTCTTTCTGTACCTTTCTCACTCTCTGTCGCTCTCTCTCTCTCTCTCTCGGTCAGACTCCGTATTAACACACTTTAAAGGTACATCACTCAGACGTGTTGTTTACCTCCTCATCTCTTTGGTCTTTCCTGTCGTCTGTCTTCTTCTCTTCCTTCCTCTCTCTGTTTTTAGAGAGTGGTGTATTTGTTTATCAGCTCCGTGTGTCACTACAGTCGTTCCCTACATGACGTCTCCGGTCTCCTTCTTCATTTGCAGGCATTCCCACTTGTTGTTCAGCTGCTGTTCGATCTGCATAACCTCATGTATGCTCTCGTTAGTGGACGGTAGGAGTTTCACACTGTTTTGACGACAATCGGGCAACCATCTCAGTTCAATTACACGCCAATCAGGTCAGTTCTGGCCATCTGACAGCAGCACACTACTCATGATTTTAAACAGCAAGCACGTTTGTAGATGAAAATCGGAGCGGAATGAGATCAATAACTAATTTTGCTGCTGAAATGTACTCTCCATATCTCAGAGAGAGAGATAATGCTTCAAATCTGAGGGTTCTTCAGGCCGGTTTGTTTTCATTACATCAGTACCTTACAGACGAGCGCTTTATTTTCGAGACGAAAAGGCCGATGTTGAAGATTTTCAGGTGGTCCTGATCATAACGACCATACACTCACCATGAGCTCCTCAAGATTATGGTCAAAATCTCCTTCGGGGGGACGGATTATATTTCCAATCTTCTGCTGGATGACAGATGCATGGCTATACACTATAACCTGGACCAGCCCCAGCACATCAAGCATGACTACTCAAATCCAATCTATAGCTTCTTGACAGTCACTCGCACATTGGCAAGAAAGACTTCCTCCTAATCTCTAGTTATTGGGAATCAGCAGGAGATCATCCTCATCCCACTTTCATCCCTGGCATATTTCATGTGACTGTGTCGGTATTTGTAACAGCTTTCGCCTTCAGCTTAGAGTAAAACACATGAGGAGCTTTGCTAATCTCTTTACAGCGACAGTGAAAAATCGAATGTACAGTATTATCGCTAACATAGTACTGGAAATCCCATATGTGTGCTAGAAATAAGCATTATTATCAATAAAGGTGTTTTTTCTCTCTTTTTTGATTGAAGCCCAAACTGACAACTACAATTATTTAGAGATTAGCACTGTACAGACTGCATGTCTAAATCATCACATTAGGAGTCGATCTTAAAGAGTCTATTCTCTGTTTCCATGCATTTGGGAATCGAGGGTCGACTCCAAAGCTTTGGACTCAGCTCTACATGGTGAAGTTTGTCCACACATTGCTGTCACTGCTTAGACAGTCTGTCTAAAAAAGTGGCTTATATATAAACAGATATATCTGTATATCTATGGTAAAAACAATGGTCATGATGCGAGGCTTTAGGGTGGTAGCAGCTGTGGACGCTCAAGGGGCAGGTTTAGCTGCTTCTCTCACACTAAAATATTCAAAATAAACTCCAATGATGTTTTTTCACTCAAAAAACCTGGAAAGTTGAAAGTGTAAAAATAAAACGCCATTGTTTTTTAGTAACGTTTCGGCCTCTGGGCCCATGAGCCCTCCCAGTAATTCAGTAGGAACTGATCCCAGGTCTTACGCAGGTAAATTGATGCTAGCTTGCGTTCATGCTCAACTTCTGCTTAGTTTCTGGTTTGGAGTCTTGGTTTCTCTCAATGTTTTGTCCTCATGCTCTCTGAGAATTTCTGCTCTTGAGTGTTAGCTCCTCTCAGTGGTTCTTCCTCATGCACTTTTAGAGTTTCTCCATTCAAGCCTTGGTTCCTCTCAGTGGTTCCTTCTTGTGTTCTTGGAAGGTTTTTTATTTATGAGTGCTGGTTCCTTTTAGTGGTCCTTCCTCAGGCTTTTAGGGAGTTTCTGGGTGGAATCTTGGTTCCTCTCAGTGGTTCTTCCTTATGCTCTTATGGAGTTTCTGGTTTAGAGTCTTGGTTCCTCTCAGTGCTTGTTCCTCATGCTCTTACAATGTTTTCATTTTGAGTCTTGGTTGCTCTTAGTGGTTCTTCCTCAGGCTCTTGTACAGTTTCTCCTTTCAAGTCTTTCAGTGGTTCCTCCTTGTGTTCTTGGAGAGTTTCGACTTTTAAGTGTTGGTTTCTCCTGTTTTTGTTTCTTCCTGTTTGTTCGCTGTGGTTGACTTTGGTCACCCTTGCCTCTGAGACAGTGACCACTGTAAGAAACACTGTACAACTAGCATTAAATTGAACTGAAACAAGTTTGCGATTGCCAACATTGACATCTACGGACAGTATCCCTAAACGTTTGCATGGGATTCAATACGTGTTATATTCAGTTAAAAGAACCATTGTTTTCAAAATGCATAAATATTGAATGCAGACTGCCTACTTACTGTTGGCTCACACTGAATCCTTGCCTACGCACACTGTTGCAGCGGGACGCCTGGCACCCACCCAAAAACCTAATTGTTGGTTTTAGCCTTTGTCAATAATGATCACAGAACTCCAGAAATGTGTGAAATGATGAAAGGGTGATGTTAATAAGTACTAGTAACTCGGTTTGCCATGGATAATAAGTGCATCAGTGGACTCCTCCTCCTCTCTAAGCTGTTAAGTTGTGCTTTGCTATGCTCATCATGCTCTGCTTTAGCGTGGTTACTGTCCTGAAACCCCCGAGCTTTCAGCTTCCATTCATCTCCATAACCGCAACCTGGCACTGCTGCCATAGTAAACATTTCCTCCATGCTCTTTTTAGCTCAGTTACAGGGAGCAGAAGCCCCTGGGCTTTTCAATCCTGTTCTTCAAAAGTGAGAGCTCTAACGTTGCAGCCAGTTTGAAGAAACTAAGTTAACTTTGACCGCTGATTTCTAAACAGAGAAGACTGCTTTTGTACTACATGAGTGATAATCTTTCACGAAAATAGAAAAACAGTGACAATATGGATCATTTGGAATGGTCTGGATTTAGTAGAACCCTGGTCTAAACTGTGTGCTCAGCCAGGAATTTCATGTAATGCATTTGCATTTTAAAGCTTAGGCTACCTTTCAGGTACCTTTCCATTGCATGGTACCTGCTTTCTTTTGGGTTTCCTTCAGGCAACTCTGGTATCACCTATTGATTTTTGGTGAGCTCAGCCCAAAAGATGACGTAAAAATGCTGCAGGCTGCTGACTGGTTGGAGAGAATTGCTAAACATATATGCTAACACTAGCTATCAGGTCAGCATACCCTCTTATGTCAACTTTGGGCAACTACAATTATCTGAACTCTGATGTCTCACCGTCTGAACTCTGATGTCTCATCGTCTGAACTCTGATGTCTCACCGTCTGAACTCTGATGTCTCATCGTCTGAACTCTGATGTTTCATCATCTGAACTCTGATGTTTCATCATCTGAACTCTGATGTCTCACCGTCTGAACTCTGATGTCTCATCGTCTGAACTCTGATGTTTCATCATCTGAACTCTGATGTCTCACCGTCTGAACTCTGATGTCTCATAGTCTAAACTCTGATGTCTCACCGTCTGAACTCTGAAGTCTCATCGTCTGAACTCTGATGTTTCATCGTCTGAACTCTGATGTCTCACCATCTGAACTCTTGCTACTATCAGCCTCAAAATGTGCCTCCTTCATGCCCCAGCAGTTTCATGTGGCATTGCTATGATGACCAGCTATTCAGGGGAGACTATAACTGCAGTGGAAAGTGAAGTAGCTCAACACTAGACCTTCTTATGATAATGTGAATATTAACTAAAACACTTGAGTGGCTTGTCAGTAAACAATTTAATCACCCTTTTTGTTTGTACTTAAATATGTTCATTTGTGTTTGGGCGAATTATCGCTACACTAGCAGTACTTGAGTAGGGATCGATTGGATTGATTGGAAAAGAATCGCTAAACACATATGCTAACAGTAGCTACCAGGTTAGCATACCCTCTTGCGTCAACAACCACAATTATCTCGTCGTCTAAACTCTGATAAAGTATTTCCCAAATTCTTTTCCTTGTTTTTTTTTATTTTTTATTTTTTTTAAGCAGTCTTTTTGTCTTGCTCTTCTAAACAAAATTTGTCTCCTTCACTTCACGGTGGTATTATGTGACGTCGTTATGACGACCAGCTATTGAGGGGCTTCTATATCTGCAGCGGAAAACGATGTAGCTGGTACCAAAAGCGAGTTGAGTCGAGTCGAGCCATATCATGCAGTGGAAAAGTGGCTAACATTGGAATGCAAAGCTGATGGGACACAGTTTTCCAATTTAGTGGGCATTGACCCCCTAAGCTTCCCCATGGCCTGCGTTCAGCACTGGACCTTCTTACAATATTGTGAATATTAACTAAAACACTTGAGTGGTTTGTCAGTTAACAACTTAATTACCCTTACCTGAGTTTGTACTTTCAATATGTTCACTTGTGTTTGAGTGAATTAGCGCTACGCTAGCAGTACTGGATCTTCTGCATTCTGTTTAGCTCATTACTAAAATTCCATTTTTTCCTGTTTATCCGCAGTTCCTCCCCAGTTCCTGAACTATCCGTCCAACATGTACGCGTACGAAAGCACGGACATAGAGATGGAGTGTGCAGTGACCGGAAACCCCCAGCCCAACGTCCACTGGGTGAAGAACGGAGAGGTGGTCATCCCCAGTGACTACTTTCAGATCGTGGTAAGAGAGAGAAATTGAAATAGAGGAAGAAAGATTTGATTTATATGATATATTTACTTAAATTTGATTGTATTATATTACATTATCTATTAAATAGGTTCAATCCAGACTGTGTTCACCTTTGATCTGCATTGTGTTTCGACAGATTCAAGTCTTTCTGTTTATTCAGTGCTGAACAGTGACAAAAACAATGCATATTTTGTGGAAGGAAAAGTAAAGATTGTACCTTCAACACAAACTTTTCATCAAATTCAAAACATTATAAAAGACCTCCTCGTCTCCTTACTAACACAAATGCAGTATGGATTAAAAGTTTAGAATCTGCACTTTCAACAGAATTTCTACACTTGTTTCAATGAGCTGCGAGTGAGAAATAATTCAACAAAAAATGTGAAGAGGTGTTTTAAGGCTTATATTCCACGGGGATCTGGGAGCGGAGAAGGATAATGACAGAATTATGCTTAGCAATGCACAAGATCAGTGTCATGACTTGCTTTCATGATGAGATGTAGATGACGGTACTGAAGAATTCCACATCTGTTCCATCTTGTTCTTATTCTAGAGTGAATGTGTCATTATAGGGTCAGTTTTAATGACATGTCTAACAGTACATGACTGTAATCATATCGCTGCTGTCAGAAGAAAAGCTCGTATATCCATTTTTGTTGTTTGTCAGTTTTTGACATATTTTGAAAAAATGCCTGTTGCTCTTTACACTATCTGTAAATTTCGTGATGAATGAATAAGAATGACTTGGAAAAAAGTCTGGTTCCATTGACTTACATTAAAAGTAAAGTATGTTTTTTCCTTCTCCTGTAAAGTTACCATTTTGGAGATATGAGGTTTTCTTCTGACAACAGTGTTTGTGTTTACATGCAAAGATTTTTTCCAATCCGATTGTATACGTTCTGATTATAGATTAAGACTGAGGTGTTTATATTAGATAAATTAATAGATTAGGTTAAGTGACCCTTATTATTAGTCTCACAATGGGGAAATTTCACCTCCGCAATCTAACCCATCCGTGCAGTGAAACACCACATACATACTAGTGAACACACGCACTAGGGGCAGTGAGCACACTTGCCCAGAGCGGTGGGCAGCCCCATCCGCAGTGCCCAGGGAGGAGTTGGGGGTTGGGCGCCTTGCCCAAGGGCACCACAGTCACGTTCTGTTGGCTCAGGGTATCGAACCGACGACCTTCCGGTTGCAAGGCTGGTTCCCTAACCTCCAGCCCATGACTGCCTCTATATGCTCACTCTAGTATATATATATGCCCATATATGCTCATTCTACCCAACAGTCTGTTGGAACATCTTTGTCAACAAGCACACTATAAGTAATCAGATCCAAAATGATGTGCATGTGTCAGAGAACCACTTAGTGTAGATGCTACCATGACAACAAGCATCTCGTGAGTCCAGTCAGAGTGAGACGAGTTTTCAGTTGGCACGCTTGTGTTTTTAATTGATTTAGCATTAAGGCAGAAAAATGTACTTCACACATATTAAGGAAGCAGTGAGAGGAAGACGTCATGTTCTGAGACACATAAGCTGGATGACCATCCCACCGTCTTTCCGTAATCTGTTAAGACTTTAAAAGTCATGTAGTATAGCCGAGGTTCAAGTTAGACAAGCTTTACAGAATATATCACACAACTTTGGCAAAGATTTTGCCAAAATGCTTCAACTTCAGAGTGCCCTGTCCATTTTAAATGGTATTTATTTTGGTCTCGTAAGGGCAGATTAGATGTTGTTTTTGTGTGATCTGCGTAAAGTTATGATAAATTCATCGTCATTTCTATCCTGATTAGCTACAAAAGCATAGTCCGTCTCAGTAGCATAGCATTTTAAACTGGAACCTAAAGTTGTGTAGCGACGTTTGCATGTGTGGATCTAACCAAATGTTTCAGACATTGGATTTGAATGATTTTGAGAAAGTTGTGCAATTTCTTATTAGATTAAATGGGATTTTCTGCAAAGCTCATCCAGCCTAGTAACAGTAGCTACACACATTTGTGCCAGGAGTCAAAGAAATAGCTTTAATCCTTGTAATATGCAGCGCATTCGCAGAGTGACTGTTTAGTGTTTTGACTACAACAGCAATGAAAACACAGCTGTAGCCACTCCCTTAATCCATAATCTGTGAATAATCTGAGTTTTCCTTAATCTCCGGATTGCAGGAGGGTGGCAACCTGCAGATTCTGGGGCTGGTGCGCTCCGACGAGGGATTCTACCAGTGCGTGGCGGAGAACGAAGCGGGAAATGCCCTGGCGATGGCGCAGCTCATCCTGCTAGAGCCAGGTGAGAACCTGTGTGGACGCATTAGTGTCCGAGTTGCCCCACAGTGCTGATCTGGGACCAGTTTTTGAATGTAAATCCTTAAGTTTGGCGCTATTGAGAGAAACAGAACAAATGACTTGTGTCAGATCAGCAGCTAGCGGCAGCTATTAGCATTCCTGCCTGTGCCCTGTTACTGTCAATCTACACTGTTCCATTATCGCCACTGTCCATCTGCTCACACACACACACGCATGTGCACACACACACACAGCCTGCAGGAAGGTCAGGTAAGGCAGGGTGGCACATAGATGTTTTCTGACTCTGAGACAGCTGTAGGTAGCACTTTGACAGAAATTGGTGCTTGCCTGGTTGCAATACTAAGAGTACGATAACATAGAATGAATCTGAAAACTCATAGTTTGTTATATATATATATATATATATATATATATATATATATATATATACATATATAAACTCTGGTTACATTGACCTACATTAAAAGTAAAGCAGGGTTTTTCCTTCTCCTGTACAGTTATCATTTTGGAGATACATGGTTTTGTCCTGATGAGGTTTCCTGTCGGAACAAAACCTCATATGTTCATTTTTGACAATTTTCAGGGTTTGATATAATTTGAAAAAGCCTGGTCTTTACACTGCATGTAAATTTCATGATGAATGGACTAAAAGAAATAACCCAAAATAAATAACCTAAAATTCTGGTTCCATTGACTTACAGGTTTTTGTCCTTCTCCTGTATTTGGAGATATGAGATTTTGTTCCAACAGCAGCGATAGACATATAATGCTGTGAAAAAGAGGCAATTAAGTGAAAAATTTGTCAGCAGAAAACTTACAGTTAATGGAAAATGACACAGAAACCTCATCAAATACCTATAATATCACATTTTAGCCGCAGTCAATGTGTCCACTCTGCCTTTATTACAGCTTCTGTTCTTTTCAGGAGACTCACTTTCAGTCTCTCAAAGAATCTGCAGACACACCTCCAAAGCTCAGTCTTAGAAGCTGGTTGATCATTTTCTGAAGTAATCAAACACATTCAGTGGTGTTGAGGTCTGGACTCTGGGGTGGTCAGTCCATTGTTCAGCTTTTTTGTTTGATGTGTCCGTCTCCTTTTCTCAGTGAGGTTCTTCTTGACGGCTACACATCCTTTCAGACCCACAGCTCTGAGTCGTCTTCTCACAGTGGAAGGATGGACAGAAACACCTGTGGATGTTTTCAGATCTGAAGCAGCTTGATTTTCTCCTCTCTCTCAGAGATGAAAGCTTTAAGTGCTGTTTATTTGATGGGGGCAGCTTTGGTGTCCATCAGATCCTGCAGGTGGTTGTTAGGAGCCCCGTTTTCTCTGTAGATTTTACTCAATTTTTGAACTCCAGCTTCAAAAGGTTTTTGCTTACTTTCTTACTTACTTTATTACTTTCACTGAAAGTTAGATGAAGGTTCTGACTTTTCTACAGTGTCTTTATGTCATAATAATATGCCCTGTATGAATAATTTATGTGTAAGTAAACAAAGAATTGTTTCTGCCCTTTTTGTTTTAAAAAATGAAACATGTAGCTTTTGTGTAAAGCACTTCAGCACGAACACAGATGTCCTGCTAAATGCTGCATGAGTTTGGGAAGGACTCCGGGCCTCAGGCAGCAGCTAAACTCTGTGCAGGGAGCGGTGTTGCCTTTGCTAAGCAAGCGATTTCCTCACGGCTGTGTGAAATGAAGTTTCTGTTGCTCATTGCTTTTGCAGAGAGGGGAGTGAACTGTGTACCACAGCGTATTCAGCATGTAAAATACTGAGGCAGGTACTGTGTTATCGGTGTGGATGTAATCCATGACGGTACCGGTGACGGTGCCAAAGAGACTCGGCCGAGGTGATCTGAACGGATGGGTTTCAGTGTCAGAGAACGTTATATCACACTCACTCACTCACGCAGTCACTCACTTCACCTGCGCTGCTTCAGTGTGCAGCCACTATCGGCAGGTTTTAACACTTAAAAGGGAAAAATTCTATGACTTTCATCTCCGGATTTCTGGATTTACCTGCAGTATGACCTTTACTGGGTCTATAGCCCATGTGTCAAACACAAGGCCTGCAGACGAAATCAGGCCCATGACACAGTCCTATTCGGCCTGCAAATTTATTTTAATTTTCTGTCCCCAGAATGCACTGCAACATAGTGTGTGTTCTGACCCCCAACAACAATCTATGGGCCAACAGTTCCACAGACAGAAATGACACCAGGTGTCTAGTTCAAGCAAATAGGCAATTTTAAAAGAACTGCCTAAAACAATTTATTTTTATTTAGAATTATTTTTGAATACATATTCAATGCTTATTTTGCTGCCCTACGATGGACTGGCGACCTGTTCAGGGTGTTTCTTGCCTTCTGCCCAATGATTGCTGGGATAGGCTCCAGCTCCCCCCATGACCCAGAAGGATAAGCGGCTTAGAAAATGTGTGTGCCTATTTTGCTGTTGCAGTTTTGGCATATTGTGAGTAAACAATGGCCTGTTGGGGTCATGGCAAAATGTTAAGTAAAATGAAATAAAAGCACAGCTGGCCACAGATGTGCTGAGATTTTTTAGTATGGCCCTTTTAGTGGTTGAGTTTGACAACCCTGGTCTATAGTATACTGTAAGATTGCTATAATACTATAGTTCAATAACAATGAGTTGGTTTTTCTTTCTGAGGGTTTTTATATTGAGTCACCTTGCCCACATCCAAAAAAACCCAAACAAATTAATTAATTAATCAATTAATTTAAACAATTTTGGACCATTTTCGTTGGATCATTCATCATATTTTTTTCCCACAATGTAAAGAACAGCTATGTTCAAGTGAAATTTAACAAAAATAATAATAAATAAAAAATTCAAAAATCAAAAATATATTTTGGAAAAAAAATGAATTGAGAACAGACAGTCTGTTTAGATCTACTTTCTGCTGTATTCTTGCCAGCCGTTCAGTAAGAAAGTATGAAAGATGTTTGTTTTTGTCCTTAATTTCATTTACATTCAGAACCAAATAATGTCAGGGTACATGGGACAGTCAGTCTTTATTAATTATGCAAAGTTTAACCTCACAATTCACTTTACAGAAAGCCTTCATTTATCTTATTACTGCCACCAGCTTTCTGATGATCCACTGTGGGATTCTGAATATTATGTTAGTACCAAGTTAGCACATCATCACTGTCCAAAAACCAAACAAACATATTTTTGTGTCCATTTTTGTTAATTTTCTACATAATTTGAACACGGCAACTGTCCTTTTACATTGTGTGAAAAAATCCAGATGAATGCTCCAAAATTGCTTAAAAACATTAACAATATTTGGGCCTTATCCTATAAATTTGCTGTTTTTGGAGATAATCGATGCTTTTTCCTACCTCTAACGGCCGACCCTCCTTATAAATTTCCACAAAAGGATTGTAAAAACCAATTCCCTGTTGGTAGTTTCTGCTACTTTTTATTATTTTTCCATAATATTTTTTAAATATCTATGTACATTCATGTTGTATTGTCTTAAAGTAATAGATAATAATACAATCATATAGAATAATATTATCTTTATCCCAGTTTACTCTAAAATTTTAACAGGAATCCTGTAGAAATCATGAAAGTCATGTTTCAGCTCGGACTGAACACCTTCTGACTTTCAGCTCTGCCTTCATGAGCTGTAAGATTGGTTTAAAATTGGTTGGACTGATTGAAATCTCACACTCATTCCCCCACATTTCACACAAAATTTCTCATGGTCGTCCCCAGTTTCTCATTGTGAGATCACGTTTGGCCCCATGAGACTAGCCAGAGGCTACTACCTTTAATTCCTGGATAGCTACATTAGCATGCATGCTAAAGCTCTTCCTGTCAGCTAAGCAGTCTGCTAATTCCCAGTTCTACTGTGAGTCCCACTACCTTCCAAACTCCGGTTTAACCCCTGTGTGAATGTGTGTGTATAAAAACACTTGGGGGAAACATCTGAGGAGAAGCCTCCTGTGTCTCTTTCCATCTCAAGTGCTCTCTCTCTGATCGCTTTGTTTGTCTTGATTCAATTTCTCTGGCTCCCTCCGGATCCTCCATCACAGAGCTGCGCCCTGTGGACCAGCCCTCAGCGGGCAGCGCCATTCCGCAGCTCAGCGTGTGTGTTTTTATGGCCGTCCGCAAGGATGTTTGATCTAATCCCCGCAGCCACTTGCGCTGAAGGATGGATCACCGAGAAGCCGTCAAGCTGCTCCGATAGCATCAAGGTTCTTCACGCTAGCGACGGTCTCTTGTCGCCCGTGTGTTTGTTAGAAGTTTTGATCTGATCCCAAGGTTTCATACGGCTGTGGATGAAACACTAGGTAGCCGTCAAGCTTCCTGTCACATGACTTTGTAGATCATGTACGTGGCAGGCGCTTCACTCTAATTCCAAATCCACATGTGGATCAGCTGCAGAGATGCTGCTTTTGCTGTGCTAGCTGTCGAATCGCCAGTTCCAGTGGATATGCCCAGATAGTGAGCATATATCGGTCCGCTGGCTCGATAAGGTTGGCACCCTGCTTACTGTTTGACACTGCTGGTCCACCCTCGGACCACCCAGATTACTGTCCTGCACACAAGCTCTAACTAGTTTTTAATCTCCTCAAACAGATTTTAAAGGGACAGGGACTTTTATTTTAGAAAATAAACTAAGACAAATAATACAAAGAACTGAGAGGCCTAAAATAGAAAGATTTTACAGAAAATGTGCTAAACTAAAATGATTTACTAAACTAATTTGTAAGGTAGAACTAAAGAAAGGAAAGAAGAAAAAATAAGTAAATTGCACTGTGAGTGAAAAATGAGTGATGATAAGTGGAATTTTGTCTAATACTCTGCTAAACAACCAGTGGGCCACCTGGAAAATGCTGAGTAAAATGCCAGTGGATCACCAGCTTTGCCATCAGCGGGCCAACAGTGGCCCCCTATCCGCTTGATATCAGGGTAAATATATTCATTGTAAACATGACCTCTGGTTCCTATC